CTGGTCGGGCGGCCAGCACCGTTGTCCCTGGCACACTTGTTCTAAAACCCGATGATCAAAGGGGAAGAGAGAAGCGTTTCCGCTGGCCTTCTGGTATGAACTTATTTCAGAGGCACCAAACTGAGCCTAATTGGATGGATGGAAGATCTTCGGAGAATTCCGCCACTGAATGCAGAAGGACAGGGTTAGAAGACGGCCCTTCGGCAGCTCTGATGGGGGAGCTGGTTCAGGCGGGGGTCACCCACGGGCGGGCCGATTGACAGACGCTGAGAATAAGGAGGGCAGGCTGCACCGTCTGGGCCTGTTACGTTAGCATCAGCCACGTGAGACAGGCAGACGGCGCACAGGAAGACCCGGACAGCCCTTAGGAAGTGTGATCCAACCTCCAGACTACAGCAAACAGAGAGCTTAGAGGAACACTTCAGACACCGCGAGGAGCCCAGAGGAACCCAGGATCCAGGCTGGGGACGCCTTCCAGCTTCCCAACAATCAGTGGCACGGGAGGTGAGGGGAGGAAGAGGACCAGGTGACCATGTCAGTTACTTGCTTTTCATCTCTCGGCTCTCAGCCCCAACCCTTCCTGCTCCGGTCTGGGTGCTGCCCTCCTAGCCCCCTTCCAGCTGTGAGCAGGCAGCAGCCTGGGTTGCAGGAGGGAGAGAGTGGGACTTCCTTGCTGCTCCCAGCTCCTCTCAGCATCATTCCAGCAGCAGAGACAGCTCTGGTCCCATCCTCCAGGCTCCCTTGGAGCTATGGTCTGAATGTCTGTTTTCCCTCAAATTCGTATGTTGAAATCCTAACCCCCAAAGTGATGGTAGGAGAAGGTGGGGCCTTTGGGAGGTGACTAGGTCATAAAGGCTCCACCCTCATGGTTGGAACGAGTGCCTGCATAACACAGACTCCACAGAGCTAGCTCAGCCTTTCTGCATGAGAGGTCACAGTGGAGATGGCCGTCCATGAGCAAGTAGCCCTCGCCACCTAATCAGCCAGCAACCCGATCTTGGGCTTCCAGCCTCTAGAACCCGGACAAGTAAATTTCAGTTGTTTACAAGCCACCCAGTGGATGGTTGTTTTCGTTATAGCAGCCTGAACTGACTAAGTCAGAAAGTTGTTACCAAGAAGCAACAAGTATCTAAACATGTGGAAGTGGCTTTGGAAATTAGAGGTTGCAAGAGTTTTAAGATGAATGTTAGAAAAGGCCTCCACTGCTGTGAATGGACTGTTCAGGGCACTTCTGGTGACCCAGGAAGAAAAGAGGAGAAAGCCTCAGTGTTCTTAGAGAATGTGCCTAAGCAATCCCGAACAGAATGTTCGTAGATACATGGGATGTGTTTACCTGAAACAATAAAACAGCCAGTTTTTACCAACAAAATGGGTTGATTAAGGAGCAGCAAAGATTTGTGTTTCAGGACAGGTAACCGTGGCACAAGTCCACAGGCAAGTCCAGTAGGTCAAAGGAGAGGAAACTCTTTTATAGACGAAAAGGGAAGGTGGGAGGGGCTGTTATAAGCAAAAAAGTCCATTGGAGGAAAATGGGGGTCTGAAGTGTGGTGGCTTTTCATTGGCTGAGCTGTGACAGTCTCTCATTGGCTGGGCTGTTGCCTGGCGGGGAGAAAATCTTCCTCCTGACGGTGGTAAAGGGCTTTTGGCCTAAGAGGCCAGGTGGTCTCCTCCTGTCCGGATCTGTGCTGACATCCAGTGGAGCCGGTGAGCGCTCCCCCTTGTGGCCTCCCCGCTCCATTGTTTTTTGTTTTTTTGTTTTTTGTTTTTGGCCGTGCTGCGTGGCTTCTGGGATCTTAGTTCCTCAACCAGGGACTGAACCCAGGCCCTTGGCAGTGAGACCTCAGAGTCCTAACCACTGGACCACCAGGGAATTCCCTCCCCACTCCAGTTCCGCGAGGTTTCCCTTTACTAATTTTCACAGGTGTAAAGGCCAGTCTGCTGAGATCTCAGATGGAAATGGAGGTCACTGGAAACTGGAGGAAAGGCAACCTTTGTTAAGACGGGGCAGAGAGCTTGGCTAAACTGTGTGCCCTAGTTTTGTGGAAGGTAGAACTTGTGAGCAATGAAACTGGTTAATGTGCCTGGAAATTTCCAAGCAAAGCGCAAGTGTTGAGGCATGAGGGGCCTTGTTTCTCTTGAATAATTCTCTTGAATAAAACGCAAGAAGACTTAAGGACAGAATTGTTAACCAAAAAGGAAGCAGACCTTAAAAATGTGGAAAATCCTCAGCCTGTTGATACTGAAAGTAGTAAGAAAGCTTGTTGAGACAGATCATGACGCTTGGGAGGACTTGACACTGAGGTTAGTACTCATCAGTTACGAGCTAGTTACCCACATCATGGGAGACCAGGCAGCCACCTAACAGAAGCCTAAAGTCCAGACAATGGAAAAATGTCTTCAAAAGCATCAGAGATTGTGGGGGTGACCCTTCCATCCCAGGCCCAGAGGATAAGGCTCTGCTCCCCACATTCCTGGGCCACAGCAGACGTGGCTGCCCCGCTGGAGGGCACTGCTGCAAACTTGGCTGGAATCGGTGTTTGGCTTCCACAAGGTACCATCTCTGCCAGCACGCAGAATGCAAGAGCCCCGGGGACCTTGCTACCTTCCCTCAATTTTGAAGGATGGAGCCACCTGGAGCCTCAGGCTCATGACCCAGGCAGAGACCCACACCCCACAAGGGGTGCAGAGCCCCCGCTAGGGCGACCCCGGGGTGGGCAGAACCTGGGGAGAGCCGCAGGCACACGACTCCAACCCCTGAGAACCGTGGTGAGCGCTGCACCCGGCAAAGCTGGTGCGGGGGGTGGGTGGGCGGCAGGACCACCCCAGGGGGGCCCGGAGGACAGACACTGAGCCACAGAGGATTGTTCCTCTTAAGCCTTAAGGTTTGGGACTTGCTCAGGACCGGTCACGTCTTCTTTCCTATTTCTCCCTTTTGAAAAGGGAGTGTCCATCCATTCCTCTCCCGTCGTTGACTTTTGGAGGCCAGTAACTTGTCTGGTTTCCCAGGTTCGCAGCTGGAGGGACGAACTGTGCCTGAGCCTCTGCTGACCTGACGCTCTCGGCGAGCCCAGCCCAGCCACCACATCCACCCTGCACGCAGGGGGCCGGCCGCCTTCCTCACACTCCAGCCACGCTCCTCTGAGGGCTCAGCACCAGCCCCGGTCCCTCCTCTGCGCTCCCAGGTACTGACAACCCCCCCACCCCGGTGGTGCCTTTTGTCCCCAGGGTGTGTGACAAGGGGGTGTGTGGCTGCAGACACTGACCCCTGCTCTTGAGCGCGGCCTCCTTTCACCCTGTGTCTATGTTCCTGGTGAGGCCCCTGATACTGTGCTGTGTTCAGGAAAAGAGAAAGGCTCTGTTTTGCTTTTACACACATGCTGAAGTGTTCGAGAGAAGTGACACTGTGTGTGTAATTCGCTTTAAGATGCTCCAGCCACCAAAAGGGGGGAAGAGCAGACAGAACCACCGGTGTGGGGACATGCTGGCAGGAGCTGGAACGGGGTGAGGTCCAGGGGGTCAGTGTATGTCTGGAAACTTCCATCATAAACAAACAAATGAAGGTAATATTACATTGCTGAGACTAAATCAAATTTATAGAATGATGATAAATTCACTACCATCCTCTCGCCTTGGGAATGCCCTTCGTCCATATGGAAATGGGGTCCTTATACTCTAAGCTCTTTAAAAGTAAAGGAAAATTCACTGCAATCCTTTTTGTCCTACCTTTCTCTTCACCTTGTTGCTGACTACTGTAGATTTATATATATTTTCAGATCTTGTCAAAACTGCAGGAAGGAAAGGAGAAAGAAAGAGTCACCCCTTTTTAATTTTTTAGGGAAACGACTGTGAAAACAAATAGTCACCAGCAGATGAAAGAAATGCAGTCTACGCAAGTGATAATATTCAAAATGCTTAGCCATAAAAATAAAGGCCTTTTATTTGGTTTTTCTGTGCCATTACAGGAACACGTGGCAATACCCTTGAACCCACGGTGACCTGTGGCCACACCCACACCTGCTGCGGCGTCTGCTGAGAAGCTGAAGTGTCACCACACAGGCCAGCCCCACCAGGACTCAGCTCTACCTGGGGTCATGGGGTCACCTTCTTGTAGGTGACGTGCAGATGCTGAGTCATGGGCTGCGTAGTGGTTGCCATGGAGACCGTCTGTTCAAGTTTGCCTTCGGAATTCAGCCTGAATTTTCGGGTAATCTGAGCAGAACAAAACAAATACAAAACGCCTTAATTTTACCTACCAAAGATTCAACAACCGCTGAGGTGCCACCACAGGCCACACGCTCCCGCGGCAGCTGCAACATTTCACCTCAGTGGTCAGGAGCTTGTGAGCCAGGCAGTGTCCCCGCCAGTGGGTGACAGACACTCGGCCAGCGGCCGTGATGGGCGTCCTGACCCCTGGCCCGTGCCGTCTCCCTGCCGCTCAGCTGTTCCCAAACGTCCGGAGGTGAGCACGGGCGTCAGCCTCGCCGTCTGCCTAGGGGCCGACTGTCCAGCGCGTCCCTCCTCTACACAGCTTGAACTGATGTCAAATGTGTTCTCAAAAAACTCGGTACCAGCACTTCTGGAACCCCCGATTCATCAGGGCCAATTACGGCAGCTGTTTCTACAAGGAACACAGGCCTGCAGCACCCGAGCCCCCGATGAGAAAATGGCTTTGCCTGGAATGTCTGTGAACAGAGGGTGAAAGCCCGAGGACTGTGGAAGCCGCCTCCAGGGGTGGCTACCTGGCGCCAGAACTGGCGGGGGTGGGGGCCCACGAGCATCAGAACCCGTGCTGGCCAGGCCCCAGCGACCATCAGGCAGAGAAGAGAGGAAAGCCAGATTCCAGAGCCTGTTTAAAGCAGCCAGGCTGCAAGGCCAAGGCCTCAGGGGCAAGGGCGTGCAGTGGAGAGACCCAGCTCAGAGCAGCCGTCCCCCCAAGGCTGGTGCTGACTCTCAGAGGCCACCCAGAGGCTGGGGAGCCGGGTGGGTGCGCCCCAACCCACGAGGCTGTGCTGCACGGGCCACCCTCTGGAACCGCTGCCCGGCGTCTAGAAGGAGGGGCCGCGGAAAACCGCCCGGCTGTTGGTCAGGACCCCCTTAGGGCCGCACCCCAGGAGTAAGAGTTCCCCAGAAACACACTGGGAAGTCCGGTTTCAAAGTAGTGCTATCTCAGTGGACAGGATCTGCCCTTCCTGGACAAACCACCAGAAGCACCAGAACTGCCCTTTGGTGGGAGACAACATCAAACAGGCCTCCAGTCACCCACAGTTTTCATGCGCGATGTCTAGAATTCAAGAAATTCAACAGAAGGGATGGAAACTAGAAGACAACGGAAGGACATCTTCAAAGCAATGAAAATAACTGTCCCCCTGGCATTCTGGCTGCAGTGAAAACACCCTTCAAAAGTGAAGGCAAAATAAAGACATTTTTAGACAAAAAATCCACAGAGAACTCGCCACCAGCAGGACCCCCCCTTCTGTACACAAAACACTAGAGGAAGTTCTTCAGGTTTTAAGGAAAATGGTGGAAGCAGAGACGCAGGAACAAAGGAAGAGCAACAGCAGGGGTAAACGTAGGAAAACCGTGCGTCACCCAGATGCCGCGATGAGGGCTAACTGGCACTTATACAACCCTGTGGGGTCTAGTGTGCATGCGTAGTCACAACACGTGACAGCAGAAGCAGAGGAGGGAGGAGGACACAGAGTCAGTGTCCTACGTCCCTGCTACTCGGTGGGCTCCAGGCACCAGCCCCACCTGGGCGGCTGCTGGAAATGCAGAGTCTCAGGCTCCGCCCCAGACCCAGTGCCTCAGAACTGCCACCCTGAGCCCCAGGGACCATCCCGCGTGGTGGTCTGAGTGGCCCTGTCCTAAGGTCCTTGCCACCATCCACAGGTGTCAAAGGTCAACGTGCTGTCCTTGCCATGGTCAGCTGAGGACGGGAGAGGGCTGCAGAGGGCAGGATGGGAGGGCACAGCCCCAGAAGAGGCGGACAGACAGACAGAAAGCAGACGGGTGGCGGGGCCGACATTCTCACACGGGACTTGCTTCAACTCCACAGCCTTTGTTCTGGAATTTAATTGAAAAACGAACAGTCGGGGCTTCCCTGGTGGCGCAGTGGCTGGGAGTCCGCCTGCCGATGCAGGGGACGCGGGTTCGTGCCCCAGTCCAGGAAGATCCCACATGCCGCGGGGCGGCTGGGCCCGTGAGCCATGGCCGCTGAGCCTGCGCGTCCGGAGCCTGTGCTCCGCAACGGGAGAGGCCACAACAGTGAGAGGCCCGCGTACCGCAAAAACAAAACAAAAACAGTCAAGGCTCTTATCCTTGAAACCACTCTGCAGAGGAAGCAGAAGTGCAGTGGAGAGAAACAAAGCCCGTGTTCCCCACACCACGCGCCACGCGCTCAGCTTCCACAGGACAGCGGCCGCCTGTCCTCAGAGCCCGCAGCCCGCGGGGCGCCTGTTTCCCCGATGCCCCACCGCCGACGCGGGACACTGGCTCTCGCCCTCACGCCACACGCCCAGCGCCACACGTGCAGGGGGAGCGCAGGCGGGGGCAAAGGAAACGCCTCCCCAGGGACCTGAAGGTGGGCCCCCCGCCCCCTGTGAACCTTTCCATGTTAAGGGGAAGACTCTGTGTGTCTCTCACACGGAGCCCGCCCGAGGGGCCGAGGCTGCGGTCACACCCGAAAACCAGCACCTGAGGACAACCTGGCTTCTCGCGCGGCCCTGCAGCCCCCATCCCGCCTCTGCGCTGCCGCAGGGGCTGCGGGCCACACCGCGAGGACACAGCCCACTTCACCGTGTGCTGACCCGAGGGTGGCCTCTCCCTCGGCCTTCGGCTCTGCTTCTTTGTGCCGAAGTCTGTGAGCATCCGGTAACAGCCACCGGGCAGCAAGACGCAGGGCAGCAAACGGAGGGAGATAGTCACGGGGGAGACCCCATGGCGGAGACACTCGTCCCCCACGACCTCCCCAGGTCCCAGCGAGAGGGTGTGTGAGGGCTGCCCGGCCGCCGGAGCACACACTCAGGGCTGTGTTCACCGTGGTGCCCTCAGCGATGACACTGCTACTGCAGCGTGTCCCTGTGCCCGGGAATCACCTGTTAAGTTCCTCTGGGCTTGGCGGCCTCTTGGATGAAATTTCTCGTGCTATTTTTCTCTTCAAGTGAAAGTTATTTGGCAGAATTTAAAGTTGAGGCAGGTCGTAGATGACATGGCTCAGGCTCAGAACCAGACCTCCTGCGGCACCCACGGCCTCTGCCGATGGTGGTCCTGAGGTCATGCCAAGTCCACCCTCAGGATGAGAATCCACCTGAGCTGCAGACTGACCCTCGTTTAAACAAGTTTAAACAAGGTGGGGCTGGAAGCAACTGTTTGCCTTTAAACCCTCAAAGTGGAGCCTGTTGGGGCCACCGGGTAAAGCAGAGGCTGCGGGAGCCACATTCTGGAGAGAAGCCTGCGCAGCCGGGGCCCAGCTCCGAGGGCAAAGGCAAACTCCAAGGAGCCTCTGAACACAGGGACGGAGGCCATCTTGACAATGACACGAGTTCTTACTTTAGCCAAGTGTGCTCACTTTTCCTCGACTGCACAGACCAAAGAGAGATATTACTGTACAGAGAAGCCTGATGTGAGAACTTCTTGATGGTTTAATGATTTTTCTCAAACTGTTTTTTTCCTCTTCTTCCTGTTATGTCTTGTCCAGTAGGAAAAAGGTGGAGAAGGAAAGGCCAGGAGGGAGTTAGATGGATGTGGCTTTGTTTTAGGCCCTAAAATAAAAAAACAAGAAGCCACCCCACACAACACTTGAGGCATCAAGGAGGGGGCTGAGTCACGAAGATAGGGGCTGAGTTTGATAAACAAGGACATCAGGACACTGTTGGAGAACTACAGACAGTGCAGGCCTCACGTTTCTCTCACTGACTTGCAAGAGGGAGGGGATGTATGTACATGTACAGCTGATTCACTTCACTGTACAGCAGAAACTAACACAACATGGTAAAGCAACTCTACTCCAATTTAAAAAAAAAAAGAATTAGAACAGATGCAGTCTGCTTGCTGCCAATACTGGCTCCTTTCCCCTCCTTTGCCCCCTGCTTTATTGAGATATACCTGACATGTAACACTGTACAGGTTTAAGTTGAAACATGATGATTTGATACATGTGTATATGGCGAAATGTTTACCACAATAAGGTCAGTTAATACATCCATCACCTCACAGTTACATCTTTTTCCTCTTAGCAAATTTCACTAATACAACAGAGCACTGTCAACTCTAGTGCCGCACTGTCAACTCTAGTGCCACGCTGTCCATCTTACACCTGGACGTTCATACCCACTGGGCAACATCTGCCCATTTCCCCCACCTGAGCCCCCGTAACCAGCATTCTACTCTGTTTCTGTGAGTTTTCTTTTTTTTTTTTAAATTTCACATATATTGGGTTGGCCAAAAAGTGCCTTCGGTGTTTACGTAAAAATAAAGGACACATTTTTCATTTTTACCAAGAACTCTATTGAACGACATTTTCACCCTTTTGTTCCACTACCTTCTGCCATTTTTCAGGCACCTTCATAATTTCATCTTCCCAAAACTTTTTACCTTTTTGAGCGAAGAACTGTTCCAGGTGCCTTTTATGGTCTTCAAGGGAGTTGAAATTTTTTCCATTAAGAGAATTTTGTGAAGACCTAAATAAATGGAAATCCGAAGGTACAATGTCTGGTGAATACGATGGATGAATCAGAAATTCCTAGCCAAGATGTAACAGTTTTTGCCTGGTCATCAAAGAAACATGCCGTCTTGCATCATCCTGATGGAAGATTATGCGTTTTCTGTTGACTAATTCTGGACACTTTTTGTTGAGTGCTGCTTTCAGTTGGTCTAACTGGCAGTAGTACTTGTTGGAACGAATCGTCTGGTTTTCCAGAAGGAGCTCATAATAGAGGACTCCCTTCCAGTCCCACCATATACACAACATCACCTTCAGGCCGGCCTTTGGTGTGGTTGGTGGTGGTTTATTTCGCTTGCCCCACGATCTCTTCCACTCCACATTATTGTACAGTATCCACTTTTCATCACCTGTCACAATTTGTTTTAAAAACGGAACACTTTCATTACATTTAAGTAGAGAATCGCACGTCGAAACACGGTCAAGAAGGGTTTTTTTTGCTTAACTTATGTGGAACCCAAACATCAAAGTGATTTAACATAACCAAGCT